GATTTGGATAGTCTTTCCGGTAGCTTTCTACCCAAATTCATTATTGCAATTGATGCTATAAGTAGTGCAGCTTAAATGGTGAAAATTCGAAAAAGAATATCAAAAAAGTCTTGTTTACAATTGTTCACAAAATGATAGTTGGTCAAAAATTCTTTCAGCATCTCCAGTTGTTAGTCATTGTGCTATTTCTGAGCTGGAGAGCCACTTTTGAGCACTCTACAGGGACGGAAGTTGGTATCAAGTGCTTAGAGAAGGAGAGAGAAGCTCTTCTCAAGTTCAAAGATGAGCTTATTGATGAACATGGCCGACTCTCTTCTTGGGGAAGTGAAAAATATAAGAAGGATTGCTGCAAATGGAGGGGTGTCACTTGTGATAATCAAACTAATCATATTGTTGAGTTGGATCTTTGTGATATGGCTCTAAGAGGTAACGTTAGCATCTCGTTGCTTGAAATACAACATTTGGAATATCTGGACCTCAGTTACAACCATTTCGAGTATAGCAAAATCCCACAATTCATTGGTTCCCTAGGTAGATTACAACATCTTTATCTTGACGGGTCTAATTTTAGTGGGGAAATTCCTCATCATCTTGGCAACCTTTCTGAATTGAATTCTCTGGGTCTTAGCTCATTTCATGGTTCTCTAACTAGCACAAGTCTTGATTGGCTTTCTCGACTTAATTCATTAAATTACCTGTACATGCGCTCTGTTAACCTCACAATGGCAACCGATTGGTTACAAACAATAACTAAGCTTACTAAGCTTCAACGTTTAGAATTATATTCATGTAACCTGTCAATGGTACTTACTCCCTCACCTTTCAATGCTTCTAATTCTCTTTCTGACTTTCGTCTCTCGGGAAATGAGTTCTCTTCTTCTTGGATATTTCCTTTGGTGTTTAACTTAAGCAGTAGCCTTAGTTACCTTGACCTCAGATCCAACAAATTACAAGGTGAGATTCCATTATCCTTGAGGAATATGACTAGTTTAACTGGTTTAGATTTATCTAATAACCAATTCACAGGGGAAGAGCCTCATCTTGCATTACCTTCCTCGTTGAGTTACTTATATCTTTCTGACAATATGTTTACTGGTACCGTGACCCAATGCATAGGAAGCCTTTCCAAACTCGAAGATGTGGATATTAGTTCAAACAACTTTGAAGACGTAATCACTGAATCACTTTTCTTTAATCTTTCCCATTTGGGAATGTTGGACTTGTCTTACAACCAAGGTATCTCGTTCAATATCAGTTCAGGATGGAATCCTCATTTTCAACTGACAGATGTATTTTTATCACGTTGCAAAGTGGGTCCACATTTCCCCATATGGCTTAGAACACAAAAGAGATTAGAGTATCTTGATATCTCTAATGCTGAAATTTCAGACACCTTCCCTGATTGGTTTCCGAAGTCAAGTCCAAAATTATGGGCTTTAAATGTATCGCATAACAATTTTCATGGTGTCCTTCCTGATTTGTCGTCAAATTTCTCTCGTTTTGAATTCACAGATCTGAGCTTTAATCATTTTAATGGTTCATTACCAATTTTACCTCCGAATGGATCTGTGGTGGATTTGTCGAGTAATGAGTTTTCTGGGTCAATTACCAATTTATGCAATGAAACTAGTTGCTATTGGCATTTTCTTGACCTCTCGAATAACTTACTGTCTGGACAGCTTCCGGATTGTTTTGCAAACCTACCAAATTTGCAATACCTTAATCTGGCACATAATAATTTCTCTGGAAAGATCCCTTCACTAAATGTCAGTTCATCGTTGCACTTACAAAACAACAGTTTCACCGGAGAGATTCCAACATCGTTGAGGAATTGTA